ATATATATATATATATATATATATATATATATATATATATATATATACACACACATATATTAACAGCGCTTTTTATATCAGTGAGTTATTTTCATGTAATGGCCGATGTCCGATATATAACTTTATCGATAATATTAGCCGATACCGATACCATGCCAATAATATTGTGCATCCCTACTAAAAATGCATTTGAATGTTTTTAGCTGTGTAGCTGAAGTTCATCCAAACCCACAAAATGAAACGGATGATGACAATAAAATAACGTAGCCTTACAAATACACTTTTAATCTCAGTTTTATGCAGACTAGAGTGTATAAATGTAGTTTCTTTATTATTGCCTTGCGTTAACCTGCTGAAAGTATTGAAAAAAAACAAGTTTTTAAGTGATTTTGTATTTAAAAGTTGTTCGCAGTGACGTTAAAACAAGATGTGTACAAAGCTTTCCTTCTGTTTTATGAGACTTCTTACTCTGCTGTAGAGTTTTCCACCGTTTGTAATAAATGTAGAGGTGAAGACGACACGAAATAAAACACAAATAGACGCTCGGAGCTGGTTCTTCTTGTTTCCTCTGCAGCCAACAGTATACTCATCCATAAAGTAGGAAACACTACACTGTGGAGTGAAGTTTAGTAGTGCTTTCTACTTTATGGGTGACAACACTGTACTTCTGATGCTTCTGCTCTTCTCCTTCACAAAACGCTGAGGAAAGACGGGTTAGCTACAGACAGGCGTTCACAAACTTTACTCAACCGAACAAATTTTATCAGCTGCATCAAAACGTTTTACAGAAATAAAGTGGAAACCTGAGATTAGTTTTGGTGAAAATGAGAGGGTGAATAGCAGCGAGGACCAGATCGCTGAAGGTTCTTACCGGCGTTTGGACTCCGGAGAAGAAAGAAAACCCAGAAGTGAACCTGACCTTTTTATTAACCCCGTCTGAGCCACGTGGTCCACACAGGAAGAACACACACACACACACACACACGAGAAGGAAGTGCACAGAAATGTGTGAGCACATCCTTTTTTAGCTGAAACTAATATATAAACTAGCGAAAATGCAGTGTGAATGCTTACTGCACAGAAGAACTTGCTGAAAAACAGCTGAAATGGAAGAACAAGTCTAAAATAGCAGAGGAAAGCAGAAAGAACACATATTTGCTGAATTGTGTTTAAATAAGCAAAAATTAGCACAAAATTAGGAAATTAGCTAAAAAGCTGAAATGTGCTCAAATTAGCTGAAAAGGCAGAAAGAAGCTTAAACTATCAGAAGGAAATGTACAGAGCTGAAATGAGCTAAAAAAAATGTGGAATTAGCTGAAAAAGCTAAAATTAGCAACAAAAAAATGCTAAATAGTTACTGGAGAAACTGAAACTAGCAGAAATAAGCTGAAAGAAACATAACAAGCTAAAATTTGTAGAAAAGAGTTAATTAGGCTGAAAGAAGCATAAATTAGCACAAAAAGTGGCAATTAACTGAAAAAGCTGAAATTAGCAACCAAAAAAAGGAGCCGAAACGTGCTGTACTTAAAAAAGCAGAAAGAAGCTGAAATTACAAGAAGGAAGTGGAGAAAGCACATTTTTGCAGAATTATGCTGAAAAAAGTTTAAATGAGTGCAAAAAAATGTTGAATTAGCTGAAAATGCTTAAATGAGCATTAAAACAGCACATTAGTAGCTGAAATAGTAGAAAAAGTTAAAACTTGCAGAAATAAGCTGAAAGGAGCGTAACTTTTTTTTTTATATATATATAACAAGCTGAAATTAACAGAAATAAGTTAGAAAAAGCACAAAAATGTTGTAGTTTGCAGAAATAATCTGAAAAGAGCATAAAACAGCTGAAAGTAGCTGAAATAATGTTTAAATTTGCACAAGGAAGCTGAAAGAAGCTGAAACAGAACAAAATGTGAAAGGAGCAGGAAAAGGTTGTAAACAGATCAGACAGTGAAGCTTTGCTCTAATGTTCTCATTAAATGTTTTCTCATCACTCAGAAGTATCTAAAGGATTAAAGTCAGGTCGTAGAGTGTTTAAAGTTAACTAACACTCACATGCAACCAGTTTAAAAAGCTTTACTAGTTACTAAAGTGTCAGTTTAAAGTTATGAGACGATGCCTGCTTTTCCATTAAAGTGTCTTCTTGATGCAGACAGCTGAAATAACACACATTGAAATTAAATGCGTGTTCTCTGCCATACTTTAAACTAAGATCATCGAGAGTTTCACCTGCTCTGCTAAACTTTGCAGGGGTTCCCAACCCTGGTCCTTGAGGAACACCGTCCTGCATGTTTGACTTGTTTCCCTGCTTTGACGCACCTGGTTGGAATGAACGGGTGATTGACAGACTTCTGCAGAACTTGAGGAAATAATTGATTCTCTGAATCAGGCGTGCTGGAGCAGAAAACAACTGAAACATTCAGGATGGTGTCCCTCAGGGACCAGGGTTGGGAACCGTTGCGTTAAATTATGTGTTGCTAATGACCCTCAGCTACTACCACACCAAAGTTTAGCTCATGTTCTGCTGCCATTTTTGTTTTGGCTCAAGTTGACGACCTGCTGTGGCCATTTTGAATTAGACTGACTCTAAAACGTAACCAGTTGTAGTGAGAGTTTCACTGGACTCTGCTCAGTGGTTCACGACATATTTTGCTAACAGACAGACAAAAAACACATATTGATCACAGAAGGAACCTTAATTGATTAAAATTTATAGACATATTTTTAGCAGACTTTATAAACGTTGTAAAAATGTTGCAAAAAGAGCGTCTTCATGTGATGTCACAGCTCGGCCGGGTCTGAAACTGTGTGTTTAGGTGACAGGAAGGTTCTTCCCGTCTCTGTGACATTTCTGAGAACTCAGTTGCGCCTGCATGTGTGTGAAGGGCTGTGTGTGTGTATGTGTGTGGTGGTGGTGGTGGGGGGGGGGGGGGGGGGGGGGGGGGGGGGGGGAAGGCCTCCCCATCTCAGCCCAGGCGGTGTGCAATGAGCTTGCAGCAGCAGAAACTTTGCAAGCAGGCGACCTGTGTCCTCGGTTGTCACGACAACCCAAACCTCAGAGTCACACCAAGAGAGATAAGAGGAAGTGTGTATGTGTGTGTGTGTGTGGGGGGGGGGGGGTGTTGGGGGGGGGGGGGGGGGTTGACACACTGAAACTAAGAAAATTTTTTTTTACAAAGATGAGAAAAGGTGAACGTCTGTGCTAAAAATAGATGCAAGAACTGACGGTGAGTTCAGGCAAAGCAAAAGATGCACGTCCAAATACTCCAGTGTGTGTGCGTCATGCACGTGTGTGCGTGCGTGTGTGTGTGTGTGTGTCATCATCAGATGGATCCATGTTGGCTCACAGACAGAAAGCATGGCAGCTCCTGCAGCTGACCTCAGTCAGGACGATCCTCCCAGAGCTCCGAGCGGTTTCATGTTCCTCCTCCACAAACATCTGGCAGCTGTGGATGAGTTTAATTTCAGGTGTTTTCTCAGCAAAAGGGGTTTCGGTTTGAACCGCACGGCTGCAGGAAACTCCAGAGAGCATTTCCTCCACAGAGACCTTTGCAACTTTCTCATCACAAAAGATTTTAAACTTTGTCAGTTCTCCAAAAGTAGATTAAATTACAACGCCCAGTGAATGCCTCTCATGGCACAGTTTTAGACTGGAATCAGACTGTGTTCAGAAACGACAGCTGCAGCTGTTTTGGTCAAACCTAGAAAACAACATTATAATCTAACACTCAGAGTGTGTGTTGTGAATGACTCTCAGCTACTACCACACCAGATTTTACAACAATATCTGTGAAATTGACTGAGTTACAGCTGTTTTTGTGTTCTTTGATGTCAGTAGGCTGTGGTGGTCGGCTTTAACTGGGATGTCAGTTGTTGTTGTTCATCTAATAATTAATCCCTAAAAGTTTTATTAAAATCAATTCAGTGGTTCATGAGATATTTTGCTAACAGACAATGCTGACTCAGATAGTTTATGTTTAAGTTTTTAAAAAGAGATGTTGCAGTATCTGTTAAAGCTCAAAGTATAGTTGGGGACAACTTTCAGCTGCTGCTACATCAGATTTTAGCTCTTTGTTTGTTAACGTGACTGAATCAAAGTTGTTGTGTTAGCTCAGGTCAATTAGCTGTGGTGGCCATCTTGAACTGAATTGGCTCCAAAACATATTGAGTTGTAAATAACCATCCAGGGGTTACTTCCTGAGAAACTCATGAAAATTTGTTTAGTGGTTAATGCATTATTTTGCTAACACAATAAACAAACACATTTAGAACCAAATAACCTTCAGAAGTGGATGTAAACAAAACAGTTGCTCCTAAAAAAAAACTCATCATAAGTATTTTCACCAATGAAACTTGCAACTTTTAC